GGAGGCCATACGTACGTCTGCCCCCCCCCCCAGGGGATTCCCTGGCTGCCGGGGATTGGGGCCACCAGGAGGCCATACTTACATCTGCTGCCTTCTTCTCCGCCTGCTCCAGCTTCTCCTGGGCCTCTTTGACCGACTCAGAGTATTTGTCCACCTCATCCTCCGTCCCCTTCAGCTTCTTCTGCAGGGCCTGCTGCTCCTCCTCCAGCTGGGAAGGGGATCAGAGCAGGGTTAGGGGAGCCCTGGCCAAAGGGGCCCCAGTCGCATGCTTGGCACAGGAACGGGGCGCGGGGACACTGAGCGCGGGGACCTGGGGCCAGCAGGACAGTGCTGGGCAGGGTCCCCAGAGACAGGGGCTCCCAGGAACGACTCCTTGGCCCTCCAGGGAGCAGGGAGGCGGGAGCCCAGGACAGCCTCTCCCCAGGCCCGGGCAGACACCGTGTGGGGGGGAGAGCCCCAGGCTCAGCCTGAGGTTCTGGCTCCATCCCAAGGGCTCGAGCTGCCGGATGGTTCTTACCCCAGTGCCTGGGTGTGCAGGGGACCAGGATGCTCATTTGCATTGGGTCCCCCCACGAGTCCATCTCCAAGTGGGACTGGCACGGTACCTGGGGTTCCATGCAGTAGCCCCCTGGGTCCTTGCCTATCAATGAGGGGCTATGGGGAAAGTGCTCTGAGGGATGGGGTGCTGGCCCCTTGCCTAATCTGTCCTGGATGGGGATACAGTGCAGCGTTAAGCCCAGCAGGGGGTGCTGAGCAGGGTGGCTGCTGGGAACTTGGGGTGCCCCCTGGAGGAGCTGCCTGGGTGTTTGGGGGAGTGTTGAGAAGACTTCCTGGGACACGGTGCAGGGGGCCGCCTGGGCACTCGGGCAGGTTGCAGGGGAGTGGTACCCAGGGGGGAATGCTCCTCGGGGGAATGGTGATGCTGCCCAGATGCTGCTGAAGGGGCCACATGGGCACTTTGGGGGGCTGGGACGAGGAGCTGCCCAGAGAGGCAAAGAGAACATTTTCT